CGATGAGTCATTAATAACGGGTTTTGAAAACGTCTTGAAGTAATGCATTTGTGCATGTTATTTATAACAAGACTACACCGCGCTCCAGACAGATTAGTCCCTCTTGAGTTGAATTCTCTGAACAAGCTTTCGACCACGTCTGGAAGAATGGCCGGAGTTTGCTCAATGAGTACTACTGAGCTGAGGTGGCGGTGACATTTGTGAGCCGTAAGTAAGGTCAGGGAAAACGGAGGACATTGAACTTGTGTGGGTGGAGAATATCAAGGTTCTTTCTTGTTATTTTTTGTGTGAAACGGTCGAAAGAAAAAAGAGTGAGTCGAGAATATCAAGTTTCTTTCTCGTTCTTTTTTTGTGTGAAACAGTCGAAAGAAAAAAGGGGCGGGGTTGGGGCGGTAACCTGTTTGAGTCGAGATTATCAAGGTTCTTTCTTGATTGTTTTTGGGTGTGTTTTAGGCGAAACTGCTGGAAGTAAAAAAAGGAGGGGGGGGGGGGGGGGTGTGATTTTTTGGGGTCAAGAGTATTATTTTTCTTTTTAGTTATTTTTTGTGAAACAGTTGGAGAGAAAAAAGGGGGCGGGGTAACCAGTTTGGGTCGAGAATATCAAGGCGTTTGTCTCGTTATTTTCTTAAAACGGTTGGAAGGAAAAGGTGAGGGTGGGGGAAGGTGATCTATTTGGGTCGAGAACATCAAGGATCTTTCTTTTTTTTCCGTGAAACCGTTGGAAGAAAAAAAGAGCGTGGTGGGTATCCAGTTTAAGTTGAGAATATTTTGGTACTCTCTTTTCATTAACTTTGAAACGATGGGGAAAAAGGCTCGGTTGGGGTGGGGGGGGGGGACTTGAGAGGGTTAAGAACAATATTTCAAGCGATGTTAATTTCAATATAAGATCAACTAGAGAACTAGAGATAAACTAGAAAAGGAATACTCTACACGACATTTTGAGCAATTCTGTTTGATAATTAGACTTAAGTTTTTTCTGCTTTTCTGAACATCAATATTCACCCACTTAACGATCTGAGACGGACATGGGCGAAATGGTATTTATTGGTAAGTGTTTTACGGTGCTCACAACTGCATAAGATCACATGAGCGTGCAGGACACATTACAAAAGCGTTTTCAGTTTGGTAGGTGTCAATTTTGAATTTTAACAGGATGATGGCCGAATCCTACTCTTATCGATTTTAGGAGCACCAAGGGATTTTTAACGTCCACAAATTGTACTCGGGACCTCCGAGATGTTTTTTGCTCTTTTCCAAGAAGGCTAGGTGATCGATCTTACCTGCCCTAAGATCAGGGATGTGGCTGAAAGACAGCAGCAGTAAGAAGGAACCAGGAGAGTAGCAGTAGAAAGGCAACAGATAGAGTTGGGAGCCCAGAGGAGCGGGCAAAAAAAGGGGAAGGTCAGAATATGGATCACAAAGCAGACGATAGAACATGATTAGAGAGCGGGAAAGGGGGGGGGGGACATTTTATAGAGAAGAAAGTTTTTTGTCGTTGTCAGGTTTCAAACCTGGAACCTATTGAATGAGAGGCGGACAACATACCTCTCGATCACGAGAACCCCTCCACCCCCCCCCCCCCCCCCCCGAGCTGGGCGATTTGAAAAGACTTAAAGTATTCAGTAAAAGTAGATGAATTCGAACGTTTGCACGCCAGTCCCTGGAGCATGTTATTTTGTAAACGCTTTCAGAAAAGTGGCTGATTAAACTCTTATTTGAAAAGCAGCGTCAAAATATAACGCCGATTCGTAACAAACAGAAAATTATTTCAATTTGAGGATAATTTCTTTCAGTCTGTCCCCAAACGAACAAAAAGCGCCACGTTCAAAATAACTCCATATTCTGTTTCTTGCAGACAGACGTTTTTTAAAACTAAGTACAGTGAGAATGTAAAGAAATCTCTCGGTCTTATCTGGGTCGAGGTTTTCGCACCAAATCCGTGAGTTGCAAAATGGGAAAGTCCGCTTGTCTGTAACGCGGAGCTGGAAGTCGTATGCCACTGAGCACTAGGGAGAGCACGCAGCATGATAGTCTGTCTGGCTCATGTCACTTTTCACAAACCATTTCCACTCATCTGAACCCCATGCTTGAGTTCAGGATGAAAGTCTTGTCCAAGTTCTGTACGTTCATTTCGCACGTAGTCTAAAGCTGATGGCATACATACACATGAGTATACACACACACACACACACACACCACACACACACACACAAACATACACACACAGACACACACACACACAAACACACACACACACAAACACACACACACACACACTTACTCAAATGCACACACATACATACATATATATGCACGCGCGCGTACACACACACACACACACACACACACACACACACACACACACACACACAACTTGCCCGTCAGTGCCAAGCCAGGCTGAAAGGTTTTATAACGCACCAAAAAGACATATGGAGATATTGGATTAAGGGAAACCTCCCCACTCGGGAATCGAACTCACTTCGATTGCGTCTAACGGCTACACCACAAAAGATGCCGATATATAAGTATCATGTATGGTATTATATACATGTATATGGACTGAATGGAGAACCATGATCGCCGATGTCTGCCACAGATCTGGCACTTGATGATGATGATGATGATGATGATGATGATGATGATGATGATGATGATGATGATGATGATGATGATGATGATGATGAGGATACATGTATTAAGGAGACTGAACTAATGCCTATAAAGATAACCTTTGCAGTGATATCTATCTACATCAATTGCATTTTCGTTTTTGCCTAGTCTCAGTGCTGCATCGTGATGTTTCGTGCTGTCTCGTGTCAAGGAATGGGATGTCAAGCCCAAAATCTATGGATTTTTAAAACTTAACTGCTGAAAGAAAAAGCCAAACAAAACAACTCCAGCTTTAAATTACCCTTACAACATTATCGGCCATCATGAACGCCACTATACCATCAACTTTTCTACGGCTAACTCGCAATACATTTATCTTTATTCTCGCGTGAGACACACCTCTTGATAAGTACGTGAAAACTGAATGCGTTGCTTAATAGCATTGATAGCTGAAGTCGAAGCATAACACCCGTAGAAATTATGTTACTCTTTATTGGCTTCGGTATTCTTTGTCGGTACGCGCGCAGGTCAACTTTTCGATTGCAAAGGAGCTGTTTTGATCCATGGCGTCCTCAACATTCAGTTTGTTTACTTCCATCTTCGTCTTGTTTATATACGTCGCCATCTTGATGTATTTGCGAGTCTGTACATGCATATTACATGTGCATGTGTGTATATGTTTGTGTTTGTATGTGAGTGTGTAAATGTAAGTGTGTGTACACGAGAGTACGTGTGTATGTGTGTAAGTATGTGTAAGTGTGTTAAATATTCTGTCTTTTGGAGTTTGGGGAGGGGGGTGGTGTAAAGACTCAATAGGAATTCTAAAAAGAGACAACAAAAAGTGGAAAGAGAGAGGGGGGGGGGGCCTAAAGAAAGGGAGAAAGAGAGAAGGAGATGAAAAAGAAAAGAGATAAAGAAAAAAGAGTAAGAAGGGAGAGTGGTAGACTGTATGGCAGATAGATGAGGTAGGTATATGATTTTATTTTCAAACATAACGACAACTTGGTTTACCGATGGTGTTCAGTGAGCGGTTCTGGATAAACAATCGCTTTCCAATATGAGAAACCGAAGAAGATAATAATATTATCTAGCCCAATATTTTGAAGAGGGGAAAATGATAACGATAAGCTTTACAGACATGAAAATACATGAATATCAAAACGTTAGTTTTGAGTACTTGATATGATATTAATTGTATTTGTCTAGTGCTTTATCCAGAACGTTCAGTTTGCCTTCAGATAGTTTGCGGTTGCCTCTGGCATATCTTACTATTTTCCCCCTAATGTTGTCTGCTTGTCTGTCTGAATGTTTACTTTCTTTCGTAATTTTTCATCCTCTGTTGCCGTCAAGCGTCGAAGTGGTCTTGATGTTTCCGAGCACGAAATGATCGTCACTGTGACAGTTAAATTCTGGTTGCCTAAAAAATCAAACAGAACGTTTGAAATTTAATTTACATGGGAAATCTGGCTGCTCCTAACTTGAAGTTTGCCCTGATTTCCATGATAGTTGACGTGCTACCCTATAATTGCAAAGCTATATCTGTTTAGTACCTAGTTTTGAGAAATTTGATGTTAAAAATTTGGCGTTTCTCAAAATGTCTAGCTTTTCCGATTACAATTTTTTGAATATCTTAAAATTGAACTATTTTAAAATTTTGACAAAACAGATCATAATTTGGTTTCTGACTTAATGGTCTTAGTTCTTAGTAACCCAAAAGGCTAAAACTGTCTAATGTAGCGAATAATATGGAGAATGAATATTACGTCCTTTTTAATGCCCAAAATATGAAAATAAAAAAATGAATAAATACTTTACTTACCTGAAGACCTCAGGCCTGTTTCACAGTAGGTGAATATCACTGAGACAAGTGAACTGTAAGATTGATTTAGCTTGCCGAGTTCGTAACATTTCTGTTACATATGACATTAAAAAATACTGATAAAGCTTGTGCCAGTGTGAAGTTGTATTCTAAGTGCTCTATGTCTGACAAGTGTATTGATAATTGTATAGTGAAATATAGGCCTGTGGCCTTAAACTCCTAAAAGAAAACAACTACCAACCACAACTACTGCTCAGGATTAGTAATTGATTATTGGTGGTAATGCTCAATACGGTTATATTCAAAGTATTATTCGAGATGAACAAGGATGCCATTAGCAAACTCTCAAGTTCCGCACAAATCGACGCAGAGAGACACAGGGACAGATAGAAAGGGATAGAGACAGAAGGACAATCAGATGCACAGACAGGGTGTTGAAATAAGCAGAGGAAAAAATAACACAGTGGGAAAGAAACTTCCAACTGATGAACAAGGCGGCTTATGAAACAGAAATAGCAGTAAACGTCAACTACGAAAACCGATCGTTGTTCCATTAACAGACAGTACTCACCGTCTCGAGTTTAGATGATGACAGGAAATGACGTCAGCGTGTAACTATCCGAGAACCTGAAACATAAAAAAAAATTAAATTAAACGTCTTTGAGAAGATAATATTATTAATCCCATCAAAGTGAATGCTAGGGAAAGGGGAATCTTTACAGAATAGCGTTTATTGAAATCAAAGTAAACAATACAACAATGATTTTATTCGAAGATGTGGAAACTCTATTTAGCATTCTCGTCCCATCGGGGTAAAAGGCTAAAACGAAGTCTTTTTTTAATTACCTCGTACGAGAATTGAGATTTATTTCACTTTTCTGGTCCCTTTGATCAGACCAGAGTAGACCATAGACAGGTCAGCTACTTATATTTTGTTAAATGGAACCCAACAAAAACCAATTTGGTTTTCGGACAAGCGTCATCTAAGTAATATTGACCGGCATCTATATATAGTGAAATGGTTAAGCTCATCGTCTTTGTGAGTAAAAAATGTGCCTTTGATTCTCCCATTGGGAAGCCTGGTTTATCTAGGCGTTTCAGTCTTTCTGATTGGACGCTGTATTCCGCTCTGTAATAGACCTGTTCTTTGTATTATTGTAAAGCTCATCCACCATTTTTCTAGTCGAAATAAAAACCTGTAAAATACATGTATTGCATTATTGTAATTATCAGTAGTAGTAGTAGTAGTAGTAGTAGTAGTAGTAGTAGTAGTAGTAGTAGTAGTAGTAGTAGTAGTAGTAGTAGTAGTAGTAGTAGTAGTAGTAGTAGTAATAGTAGTAGTAGAAGTAGTAGTAATAGTAGTAGTAGTAGTAGTAGTAGTAGTAGTAGTAGTAGTAGTAGTAGTAATAGTAGTAGTAGTAGTAGTAGTAGTAGTAGTAGTAGTAGTAGTAGTAGTAGTAGTAGTAGTAGTAGTAGTAGTAGTTGTTGTAGTAGTAGTAGTAGTAGTAAGAGGAGGAGGAGGAGGAGGAGCATCATCATCATCATTATTATTATTATTATTATTATTATTATTATTATTATTATTATTATTATTATTATATTGATATTATCATTTTTTTCATTATTATTATTATATTATCATTATTATTTTCATCATTAATACTATTATCATTCTTCTTTTTCTTCTTCTTCTTCTTCTTCTTCTTCTTCTTCTTCTTCTTATTATTATTATTATTATTATTATTATTATTATTATTATTAATATTATTATTATTATTATTACTACTATATTATTAAGCTTATTGTTATTATTACTATTATTATTATTTTTATTATTATTATTATTATTATTATTATTATTACTATTATTTATTTTTTTAAAATTATTTTTACTATTATCGTTATTATTATATTAAAATTATTATTATAACTATTATTATTATTATAAGTAGTATTATTTTTGCGATTAAAAACCCAACCAGTCATATTGGCAACTCTTCTTGATAATACAGCACAAATTGCTGACGCTTGATAAAGTACAAAGTTGATGTTTTGCAAGTCCCGTATAGGTCTCACAGACCAGACACGTGGGAAAACTTAGCTTTTGGAGGAAAAACCTCATTCTTGTAATTTTTTACGACTCCCGTGAAGCAAGAATTTTTATCGAGTATATCAGATAATCTGTTTCTATTTTTTTCTCTCTTAGTATAATTTGCGCTATCGTATCAGTCTGCTCCTTGCTACATAAACTTAACTAAAATAAAAAAAAGAAACCTTTGAGGCGTCAGTAGTCTAGTGGTTTGCTACCGGTCTTTTAATCGTGAGATTACGGGTTCGGGGGTTCGAGCCTCAGCTCGGTCTGACGTTGTGTCCTTGGGAAAGGCACTTTACACAAATTTCCCACTTAACTCGATAGTTTCGGGGATGGACATTTAACTCGAAGGTCCTGCCTTTTAAATAATCTAATACCAAAGAAAAGTTTGGAGAAACGAACGAAGGTGGTATTTCCACGTTCTGAGTTTCATTTGGAAAAATAAGTATTAAAAGCTGTCTCTTTTCGACCTTTTTTTTCTCTCTTTTCTGTCAAATAATAGCGGTCAAGCTAGACACTATTATAGTGTAATAGTATGTTTTATCCCTTCGTGGGTCCGGTATCAGATTCCTCCGAATAGATTACTCGCTGTTCTACAACATTTTCTCAGAGCTGACCCTTCTGTGGCGCTTACCAAAAACGAGAGCAATAATTGTAATGGGAGAAAAAAGTCACGTCATGAAATTGTGAAAATAAGAATATAAACCTTGTAAAATAGCCGAGGTTAGCATGCCGAAACACGATATTTTCATTTAACCAGACAAAGAAAGGAAATTGAATACAAACGAAAACAGAAATACGGAACGCTCTCACACAAGAATTTAACTAAGAATAAGGGAGAAGGCCCAGGGAAACATGAGCAAAAGGTTCAAATTAATCAGAGGAAAAAGTTCTATAAAGCTGAGCGGGTATCCAAACACAAAGGGTAGAAATAATTAAAAGGCCGTTGGAAATTGCGAAAATAAGACCTTCGGAAAAACGCTGGCAAGGGAATTAAAAGAACACAATTCTGTAAACGAAATACGCGAGAGACTTTGTTTTTCTCTATTTCAGTTTTTATTTTTATTTTTCCCCCTCAAAATGTGAATTCTCCGAGTTTTGAGAGTTGCTCCAGGATTTGAAATGAAACTTTTACTGGGGAACACCAGTTTGTTTATCATCCGGCGTGTGAATAAACACACGTGCGGGTGCACTCTCGGGGAAAAAGTTTGGTCTTGCTTTATTCATAATTTGAAATTCTCCTCAGAGACATGCATCAGTGTGAGTATGGTTAGGGTCTTTTCTCTTCCTTGCTAAAAGCGTGAGTTCTATTCCTCTCAAGGTAGTTTGTTCGGTCAGGATCTCCGTCTTTCTGTTCGAATGCTGTATATATCTAGGTTAGTCATGACAGGCAATGTGGAATAACGTCGAAAGAAAGGGGTGGAGGTAATAATTTTACAATGTCAGCAAACCACAAAACTCCCTACGCAATGGATCTGCTCAGCTCGTACTGTGATTGAGGGCTACAGTGGGGGGGGGG